CAGCGGAATCCCTTTCCCTCCCGACCTCCCGTGGCTTAGAAGCGCCGACCGACCGACAGGCCACGCCGCGCCGCCGGATCGGGGAAGAGATCGCCTGCCGAGCGAGCGAGCTCCCCGGAGGTATTCCGGATCTGAGCGAGAAGGCCGGAGGGGGAGGGGGAGGAGGAGGGGGGCGGCGGCGGAGGAGGAGCGGAGCTATTTCAAAATGTTTCGAACGTTTTGGATGGGCACGGGGCACGCGGGGGCCTCGGGGGTGCCGTTGCAGGCCCGCCGGGCCCACGCTATTTACGGGCCTGCCACTGCCTGGCCGGTGCGGGTGCTGCGCCGGCGCGCGGCGGCCTCGCGTCAGCGCGCGTGGGGCTCGGGCAAGTGGCGCCGCGCGGTTCGCTTGGCCTGGGTTTTCTTTTTTAGGGGCAGTTTGGGGATGGGGTGGCTGCGGGTGAACGGTCAGCCTCCGTGTCGTGGGCTTCGGGATGGGCCTACTGCCGCCTGCCTTTGCGGGTGGGCCGCGCGGTGCGACGTTGCTCTCTCTCTCTCTCTGTGGCCGGCCTCGGAGTAGGTTGGGTTCCTCCGGGTCGCAAGGGAGAGAAGAGAAGTCAGCAGCACGGAGGTGCGGCGTCGCTGGCTCGCTTCAGTCACTTCACTGCACAACGACCACGACGATGCGACGATTAATTTCTTTTCTCTTTTGATTTGATTTGATGATGATTGACTGAGGGATGCGATGCAATGCTTAATTTGGTTAGCCGTGCCTAATCGGATTCGCTAATTAATCCGCTCACGTCTTGTCGCTTTGCCGGATTAGCTCCCCGTGACTCATTTTCCTGGTCCAGATGTGTTAGGAAAATGGCTTTCGGTATTTGATTCGACGGTCGTATCTTCTTCCGCTTTAGTTGGTGCTTCCTTTCCTTTTCTTTTCTTTTTTTTGGGTTCGGTGGTGGTTCTTGTATGTAGTCTACACGAATGATCGCCGCTGCCGACGATAATATTCTTCCGGCTGGTCTCGACCGCTTGCTTCTTTTGGCTGCTCTGGATATCAAGCTTGAAGCTTCTACTACAGTAGTGGAGTATTATCTTTCTTGTACTTTACGTATAGGGGCCCGAGAATAGATAGATATGGTCCATGACGCAATTCCACGATGATTGCCGACTTAGTGCGCTCGACTGTGCAATCATTTGGTTAGGTTAGGGGCCCGTTAATTATCCGGTTTTTTTGTTCGCCACATAGTTTAGCCGGGTTTTTTTTTTCTTTTGGTTGTCTTTGAGCTGTCCCTGCTGGATGCTGCTGCTGCATCACTATGTACGCTGCCTCGTCAATCTGCGCATAATTCAAGCCCCCGAGAACAAGGACGGACGAGCATGCACCACCTCTTCACCAGAAACCACGAAAAAGATATAAAAAAAGGGCGAAGAGAGAATACATGGCATGGCTTCGGTTTCAGCCCGGAAAGGGGCGTGGAAACCATCGTCAGGACTCGCACGCTGGGGCTGGGGTGCGTGGGAAGGCACCCAGCAAGCCGTCGTCGGTCAGGACTGAGGAGGCGATCAATCAAAGGCGACGCCGACGCGCGCATGTCATGTCCTGGCCGTGGGTCGGTCAGTAGCCGCTCTGCAGGTGAGGATCGGCGGGCCGGGCGCTGTCGCTGCTCCCCCTTGCCGACGGCGACGCGAGCTACTCGTATCAGCGTAGCATCCCTTGGCACCGAACCTGTCGCGCCACGCGGGCTATCCAACGACCGCCGGAGTCCGGAGGCATGTGCGGGCGAACACGACCGCGTACCCGCACCCGCTGCCTGCCTGGGCCTGCCGTTTCCACAGTGTGTGCCACAGGGAGGGCGTCATGGCCAAGGGCGATGCACAGTGAGTGTCAACGGCACGACACGGCTCGAGAAACACACACAGTTTCTAGCCGGATTGATTGGGGTTTTCGGACGTGTTCACGCCCGGTTTTCCATTATTTTTTAAAAGAAAATATTTGCTGAAGAGAGGTGATGATTATTGCCGTGTTTAAAGGAAGATGGGCATGGAGGACGTGCCCAATATATGGTCGTACTCTCTTTCTTGGATCGCATACTCAAGAACTTATGTCCTTGTAAGTTTGGTTGGAAGCGTTGAATCCTTTGTCTCGGGCCGCATGTGTATATATATATTGGCAATGCCTTGGAGTACAAGGAGAGATCAAGAGATCGAGATGATCCCAAGTTGGTTCGGTACAGGAGGTAACTTGAGGAGGAAAGAAAGGAGATAGAGATAGATTACAATTTGAATGAAACTACTCTATACATATTCTAACACTCCCCCTCAATCTAAACCTCACGAACTTCGACCAAGGTTGAGATTGTACTTGAACTCGTCTAACCTCCTCATAGTGAGAGGCTTTGTGAATCCATCAGCAAGTTGATCTCCAGTAGGAATGAACTGAATTTCGAGGAGCTTTCTAGTTACTCTTTCTCTGACAAAGTGGAAATCAACTTCAATATGCTTTGTGCGTGCATAAAAAACAGGATTGGCTGATAGATAGGTCGCACCAATATTATCACACCATAATCTAGCTGCTTTTGGAGTCTTAATTCCAAGTTCATATAGTAGTGTCTGTATCCACATTACTTCAGCTATGGCATTTGCCAAAGCTTTGTATTCAGCTTCAGTACTTGATCTAGAGACTGTAGCCTACTTTCTTGCACTCCATGAAACAAGATTGGATCCCAGAAATACAACAAATCCACCAGTTGACCTTCTATCATCAATACATCCTGCCCAGTCTGCATCAGAGTAGGCAGTAACAAGCATAGAAGAAGACTTGGTAATTTGAAGTCCAAGTCCCTCTGAAAACTTAAGGTACCTCAAAATCCTCTTAACTGCAGTCCAATGAGTAGTGCTAGGAGCATGTAAGTACTGACATACCTTGTTGACAGCATAAGAAATGTCAGGGCGCGTAAGTGTCAAATATTGCAATGCACCCACAACACTCCTGTAATTTGTTGCATCCTTTGACCCAAGTGGCTCTCCACTTTCAACAGAAAGTTTTTGAGAAGTTGAGATCGGTGTACTCACAGGTTTACATTTTTCCAAACCTGCTCTCCTGAGTATGTCAGCTGTGTATTTTTCCTGTGTCAGGAGTATACCATCTCTTATCTGTTTGATCTCAATACCAAGAAAATAATGAAGGTCTCCCAAGTCTTTGAGAGCAAATTCCAACTTAAGATCCTTAAGTAAGCAAGTGGTGGCACTTGAACTTGAGCTAGCAACAATAATATCATCAACATAAACTAGCACAAAAATAGTGGCATTTCCTTTATTGTAAAAGAATAAGGATGTGTCTGCCTTGGATGGTACAAATCCAAGTTGTTGTAGTTGCATGCTCAATCGTGAATACCAAGCTCTTGGCGCCTGTTTTAAACCATATAGAGCTTTATCCAATTTACAAACATGATGTGGTGTACCTTTGTTTTCATAACCTGGTGGCTGCCGCATGAACACCTCTTCCTCAAGAACACCATGAAGAAATGCGTTCTGAACATCTAGCTGTCTTAAGCTCCAACCTCTGGAAACAGCAATAGACAGAACAAGTCGAATAGTGGCTGATTTAACAACTGGACTAAAGGTGTCCTCATAATCAATGTCAAATCTCTGCTTAAAACCTTTAGCAACTAATCTAGCCTTGTACCTGTCTATACTTCCATCAGATTTTCTTTTTATCTTGTACACCCATTTACAATCAATGATGTTCATTCCACTTTTTGATGGTACTAGGTGCCATGTTTTGTTTTTCATAAGTGCATTATACTCACTATCCATGGCTTCTTTCCAATGTTTGTGAGCAAGAGCATCAACTAGGTTGACTGGTTCACCAGCTGTAGTAAGGAAAGCACGTTTTTATCATACCTGATGGTACCATCTTTGTATTATTTTTCCTTAGTAATACCTGACTGAGACCTCGTGTGACGTCGCGGAATTATTTGTGCCACAGAAGATCCAGCCATCAGATCATGCTCAGACGCCACGGGATCACACGCCGAATCTCCTTCGAGCGAAATCGACCTCGGGATCGCGCCGCCAGCAGAGGCGCGCCGCACGTCGCCCGCTGTGTCGCCCGCTGAGCCCGTGCGCGGCGGAGCCTGTGGGCTGGGCCCAGCATCGGTCGGCTGGTCGGCCATGCGCGCAGTCCGCGGACTCGTGGTGAGCGGGGAGTCATGCTCGGCCCCGCTGTCGCTATCGGCCACCGAGCCGCGGGCCGTGTCCACGCGCTGGAGGGGATCCTCCTCGGATCGAGCGATGCCAATGATTGCGCTGGCGCCAGGATCCTCCTGGGATCGCGCGCCAGATCTGCTGGGGCTGGCAGGATCCTCCTCGGGGCTGACGCCAGCTGTGTTGGCTGTTTCTGAGTACATAAAATCATGGGCTGCACCTGTACAAACATCATCAGAAGTGCAATTTTCTGTGGATTTATCCACATGGTTAGCTTCAATTAATTCACCCCCGTGATCAGAAATTGTGTCAAGATCAGAAAGAATTGCTATTTCAGCACGGAGAAGCGCGCCAGCATTGGGATGAAGT